GTTATCGTACAGCTTCTTAAAGGACATGGATTTGGGAATTTTTTTACTTATTATATTTTATATGATATAAGTGAAGTATATACCATATTCTTCACAGAGTATTGTTGTTTATGTACTTCAATTTGCTTTAGAAATAACCTCACCAGTAGATGTTCCTACTGCTTCCAATTTGTTTTCCAAAGGAAATGGAGTTTGAGTGACAGGTGACTCACCCAGAGACACAGCAAGATGAATTTCAGTTTCGCTTGATGACTTGGGCTTTCTCTGTAATCCACACCATTACTTCGGCTTCACACATACAAAAGAATGGCTCCCCCATCTTCCTGGGAGCCAGTGTATCTTCCTCCATGGCTTGAAGAACGTTGACTCACTTAGACTTCAAGGGCACTCCAGTGGGGGAGGGGTGAAGATGTGCAGCTTGCTTCTTGTGAGGGTGAATGTGTGTGAGCCTGTGAGCATGTGTGTGTGGGGGGGTAAGTGTGTATGCATGAGTGTGAGCATGTAATCATGTGTGTTCCTGTGTGTGCTAAAGACTAGTCTCTATACATGTTAGGCAGATATTTGACTACTGTTACTTTTATACAACTTCTTCAATAATATGCTTTGAATGAAACATTTTTGCAATAGTACTCTCTATGACTAACTCCCAATAACAGATAAGAGACTATCGAGTGAGAGCACATGCTTCAAGTCGGTTCCCCAACTCTTTCCAAAGGGGGTTCTCAGTGGATCTGCAGAGGGCCTTGGGAATCTGTACGTCAAGCACCGTGGAGTTCTGTTCCCTAGTCAAAGGTTATGCTGTTTTATCATATTATAAGGACTATTTATTTATTATTTGTTTATTATGAGGGAGTTAGGAAGGTTGCGTGTGTGTGTGCTTGCCTGGGTGCAGGAGGGGATCAGAATTTAACACTGGGATGTCATCTTGACTTGCTTCTCCACTTTGTTTTTTGAGACAGGATCTCTCACTGAACCTGGAGAGCATCGATTGGCTAGACTAGCTGATCCATGAGCTCTGGGATCAGACCTGTTTCTCCCTCTGGGTTTTTGTGGGTGTTGGTGATCAAACTTGGGTGCTTGTGCTTGTACTGAAAGTGTTTTATCCACTGAGCAAGCTCCCCAGTCCCATGTGGAAAGTTTTCAAACAGAGGCTGGAGGCGGGGCTTGGTTGATAGTATGCTCACACCTGAAGGACCTGTGGGCTTAGTCACCAGCACTGCTGGGGGAGGGGGTGCTAGTTTTGGTCCTTAAACTCTGGCTATTTTTAAAATTGTGAGAACGTCTAAGAAAGAAATCTTGCTAACTTCATCTATCACTTTTTCTATAAAATAGGGGTAGCCTGGGTTCCATTTCTGAAAATGAGTGTACATAGTTGATACCCAGGAGGACTGTACAATTCCGAGACTAGCGATCCTTCTTTGTAAGTTTGAAAGGGCTCCCGTTAATTTTTACAATTAGACATTTCATCTTTAAAACATCATGAATGATTAAAGAATCCTGTTATAGGGGATCATACATTGCTTGATTCTGCTGATATGAAATGCCCCTAATAGGTCCTACATAGTGGAGAGAAAGCTATGGGCTGCTCAGGGCAGGGGATAGAAAGTAGTATAACTTGATATTTATCAAATATAACTTGATAATAGTGGTTATTGCTCAGCACAGCATTCTGGAGTTCACCAAACTGTATACTTAAAACAAGCGAACTTTATTCTATATTAATTTTATCTCAATAATGCAGTTACCTTTAAAATTAGAAATAAGAGGCAATCTGGAAGAAACACAAATTTTGAAGATCTGGTTTGGAGCTGAAAACCTGCTTGTCTATGGTAACCCAGCCAGGATTTCTCCCCAGCAGCATGGTCCACCCCGGGAGTAAACAGGTCCCCCACCCCCACCAGAATATTTTGTAGGAAAACATTCTGTCCATAAACTGCTAGACCAGCAGATGAAAATGTAAACACCAAGGTTTACTGGAAACGAATTCACAGATAGTTCTAAAAGAGATTTTTGATTTGATTTTAGTTTGCCTAAAGTATTGTGCAAATTCATTTTAGAGTCTTAAATGAGATTTCTTCCATCTGTCTTCCTGCCTGCCATGAGGAAATGCCTTCTCGACGGCTCATGCTCCTTTTCTCAGTTTTATTAACAAGTGGCAAGGAGGCTTCAGGAATTCCAAGGGACAGAAACAATGGATAAGCTTACCTTCCGTCGATCAAGTTCAGGGTGATATGGGTAGCTGCAAGGGTGGAGGAAAATCTACTGAGCATGACTTCTCTGTCCCGAGACAAGCGGGCTGGACCGTCTATTTTTATCAGACATTCCCACCCTTCTTCACGCGGAGGCTTGAGGAATTTCAGAACTTCAGATAATCTCCAGTGACTTTACGTAAGAATGGGAACCGCAGCAGCCTGAAAACACTTGTGAAGGAGAAAATTTTCGTTGGTCGTGGATCTCTTGCTTTCTCCTCACATGAGATAACACAGCTTTACGAAGAGGTTTACAGGCACGTGTCCTCTGACCGTGTACTATGGGAGATGCTTTCGCAGGAGTCTGCACAGCAAAGGGCTTTGCATGCCTGACTCGATGCTAGTCAGTGTGGTTTCATTTAAGAGGGCATGCAGCAATATGTGGACGTTTGGAAATCAGGTCTGAAGATGTGGTTCAGTGGTAGGGGACGTGCCTAACATGCTCGCAGCTCTGGGTTGAGTTCTCAGCACCACAGAAACAAAAGAAAGCAAACAAAGCAGAAATCGCTAATGTTCCAGATAGCGACCAGCTCACTGTAAATAGAGGTATCAGGGGTACGCGGTTGGAGACATTCCCCAGCACTGAGGTGTAGCAATGTTTGCCAGTGCCCATAAATACCTAACTTGTCTTTTCTGCCTCAAACGGAAGAATAGCCCTAAAGTTGACTGAGCTAAACCCTCTGTTTGGAAACCTTTATTGGAAGAGAAAATGAGACTCCCTGTAACATTAAGTCATAGCCTTACCATTCGTTTTGAAACCTGGAAGCTGCTGTCCTCCTCCTCCTTCTCCATATCCTACTTGTTTGATATCAGAATCAGAATAAAAAATTCTCTCTCATCTTGGTTCTTGTATGGACGCCTATTTTGCAGAACTTAGCCATTTCTACTTTGGTCCTGGGAAAAGAATTTAGCTGTCTGGAAAAAAAAATCAGGTTCCTTCTTCTCTCCCTTCTTCCCTCTGTCCCTCTCTCCTTCTCTCCTTTCTACTTTACTTCTGAGACAGGTTTTCAATGCATGGCCCTGGCTGTCCTGGAAATTGCTCTGTAGACCAGGAAGGATGACCTCAAACTCAGATATCTGCCTGCCTAACCTCCTGAGTGCTGGGACGAATGGCATGCATCATCAGATCTCTTGACAGCCAGGTAGATGTTCTACTTTCCCACTTTAGCAGATTTCTCTAAAATAAGATCATATAAAAGGAATTCTCCACTGTCGCTAGGCTGTAGAATTGCTACTCTAAATAGAAAACCACTATGAATGAGATTTAAAACCCAAAGAGAGGCCACTTGTGTAGTTTTCAAACCAACTAATAGGCCATCCTAGGAACTTGGACTGGAAGGGATCTTTACACGTGTGTGTGATTATTACACTCTGTATTTTCCTTTTCTACTTTCAGAAAGATGGTCACTAGAAGATAGTTTAACAGTTTTTGTCTTTTATTCTGGAGTTATTTAGACTTCGTAAGAAAGGTACCCCTAATTTCAGAAGACATTGCGTAATAATACTGTTTGATACCATATTTGAATCAGGAGGATTGAGTATCTGCAAAATGAAACATCTGTGGTTCAGTATCAACTCATTAAATCCCAGCATATTTTTATTTATAGCCCAATCTGAAATGGGAATCCTAGAATTTTCTACCACTTTCAGATCACTGAACTTTGCCTCAAGTGGGTTCTGAAATTGAAAGCATTTTTTTTAATCCTATGAATTTATTTCAAAAGGATTAGTTAGTAGAAAGTATTCTCCAAGATGGCTAACAAAATATTGCACTTTATTAAATATTACTTCTATTTTAAATAAAGATGATTTATCTCAGTGAAAAAAAAGGAAGGGAAGAACTTTGAATTGTAGAATGTAGTCTGCTTGGGCAGCATTACTGAGTCAGATCAAACACAGGCTCCTTGCCCATCGACGCGGACATGCTAAGCTGACTCCAGCCCTGATTTGTAGACCCATTATGGACTTTACAAAGTGGTCAAGGTTGCTTTTCCAGTCACTCAGCCAGAATCGATAAATCTCTCGCCTGTCTTGTGCTGTACGCTCTGTGCTGGTTAATCATGTATGTATGAGGCACAGAACATGAGGCTTAGAGGTTTCTGACGGGGGCCAATTTCTAACCACCACACTGCTCAAACCTGAAAACAAAGGGAAACCGCTTCTGCCTGCAGTTAAGGTGTGTTATCAACTCAGAACCACAAATACTCCTGCTGGCCAATTTCCAGGGCCAGAAATAAAAAAAAAAAAAAATCATGGGAGAAAACCATGTTCTAAAGTTCTGCTGAGGAGTCTCAACATCTGGAAAGTCTTTAATAGCTCCACAGATAAAGACATGTACCCCTGCCTGGCTTGTGTTTATTGAGATGTTTTCCGAATTCCGAGTGCCAAACTTTACATCTGTGTGGTAAGTGGAGGAGAGCTGTAGCCAACAAGAGAAGCCCCTCCCTCATCCTGGTTCATTTTTCTTTTCTCTGGATGATGCTATTTATATTATGATGTGAACTTGGAGGTCCTTTCTAATGGTGAATCGTATCATGGACTTCAGAGGTGTTTATTCAATCAACTTCTGCCTGAGGCCACTGAGGATGCTATTTTGGGTGTCTAAAGTAGGTCCTCCTGGCTGCCCAGATCTGTCTTGGACCTGTATCTCAGTTGCTTGCATGAGTTTGGGACAATCCTCTTTCTTGTTTCTTCCTGTTTAAAATAGGGTGATTTATATGATTCTTCTTCTTTTTTATTTTTTTGGTCCAGTGCTGTAGGTAGAATCCAGGGCCTCCAAGTCCATGGCAAGCCCTCTACAGCTCAGCACAGTACAGCCCTAGGTGACTCGTAAGTACCGTTCAGCTTTTGTGTGCTATGTTATCAATCACTGGATGGCAAGGGGACTTGAAAAATTCTCATATTTTAAAAATAAATGCAGAAAGTATTTTCAAGTTGTGTAGTACCAGTATCCACAAAAAGTACCCAGTTGTGGGAGGCTCAGGATTACGTCCTGGTATCTTCATTCTTACCTAGCATGCAAGAAATTCTCATTCAGATGGCTCATTAGACCAGGCATGGGACAGCTGGCCCTGGGCTTTCCACTCACACATGCATTCACATATCTAGCTGCATACTTTATTTTTGCACTATTTATTTACTTGACGGCACTGAGACTAGAAATGAAGGCCCTATGCATGCCCCGAGCCACAATCCCAGCCTAAGACTCTGGAAACGAGTTTACTGAGGGTCTTGTCAACACTTGGCATGAAAAACAAAGCTTTTGCATTGAGAAAATTAACAAATATAGCAGACAATCCAAGAAGGAGGAGTGAGGGTCAGAGTCGAGGAGAATGTCCACAATGTAGTCCTTCCCGCTCCTCCATGAACACAAAGTAAGCACAGGAGACAAAGAAGGAATGGTGTTTCTCCCCTTAGCTTTACTGGAAGTTTCTCATAGCCACAAAGCAAACAGTTCGACCGTAAATACCATAAAACAACCTAACGGTTACTTGACCTAGACACGAATTAATCTATATGCTCTAACACCGTGGAGTGCTGGTATGTCTCTTCTCTGACTGTGCCTTTTTTTCCCCAGTTTTTCCAGACAGGGTTTCTCTTCATAGCCCTGGCTGTCCTGGAACTTGCTCTGTAGACCAGGATGGCCTTGAACTCAGATATGCCTGCCTCTGCCTCCTGAGTGCTGGGATTAAAAGCTTGCACCAACCACCACTCTCTAGCTTTGTAGCTATTTTTAATTAAAGTTACAATTTAATGATGGTGATTCATTTTTCTTTTTTAAAATGTTTTTAGAGACTTATTTTATTATGTTTTATGTTTGGGGTGTTTTGCCTCCCTGTATGTGTGTGCCTTATGTGAGTGTCTGGTGCCCTCAGAGGGTACCAGATGCCCTGGAATTCAAGTAACAGATGGTTGTGACCTGCCATGGGGCTGCTGGGAACTGAACCTGAGCCTTCTGCAAGAGCAGCAAGAGTTAACTACTGAGCCAGCTTTCCTAGTTCCTTATAACAGTTCTTATTGAGATTTGATTCACATTTTATAGAATTTGTTTTAAAGTGTCTACTTTATATATAGTGGTTATATAGTGGTTTCCACTATACTCACAGATGTACCTCTGTCACCACCATAAGTGTTAAAATATTTCATTATTTTCATCTGCCTAAGAAATTTATAGGCACTCATATTTACCCTAAACCTGACCCTGGGAAGTGCTGAACCGATGTCTGTCCTCTGGTTTAGTCTATTGTCAGCACTTCACAGAAACGGGAACCTACCTGGTCCTCTGTGACTGCATTCTCTCAGCAGTGACTCCAAGGCTGATGGGTGCTGTTAACATGGACCTACTTCATCTGTCAATGCATATTCAATAACATTCCTTCCTATGAGTATGGCACACTTTGCTTACTTTTCATCAGTAGGTATACCATTGATGAAACAATTCCAATTGTTTCCGTGGTCTCTATCTGGGGCTACTACAGATAAAGCTGCTTTGAATATGTATGCGCAAGTTTCTTGTGCACATCACGCTTCCAAGTTCCTTAGGGTGGAACAGTGGGCCGTACGCTGACTGTAATCATCTGAGCGGTGTCTAGACTCTTTTTTAAAGCAGCTGCACTGTTGCAAATGTACTAGCCATACATTGGGTTTGGGTTCTCCAAATCCTCGTTGGTACTTACTGCTATTTATTTTGTTTATGCCTATGTTTGTTCCTTTTAAAAAAATTTTTTTTTGTCTGTTTGTCTGACTTTCAAGATGGCATCTCTCACATAACTCTAACTGTCCTGGAGCTCACTATGTAGACCAGGCTGGCTCCAAGTGCTGGGATTAAAGGCATGTGCCACCACGCCAAACTGTCTAACATTTCAAGAAGTCTGACAGTGATAAAGGTGCTTTCGTTGTTGAGTAGCTGTCCAACTTCCCCAGCTTTCGGTCTCTGTCCATTGGAGAGCATCTCCCAGCTCCCCGTTTCCCCAGTTAGGGTTATCTGCTTTCTCTTTTCCATCTTTGTGAACTGGCTTACCTTATATGAGTGGAATCACATAGGATTTGCCCTGTATGGATGGCTTGATTCACTTAGCACAGCATTTCCAAGACTCATGCATGCATGTTATATCAATATCAGGATATCTTTCCTTGAAAGATTGAATAATATTCCTCTGTATGATTAGACCCTATTGAGTCAAATGTTATCATGGTTTAAGGTAGGAGCCCAACTTTATTATTTGATATGATCAAATTCAGTTGTGTGAGCATTACCTGTGACTGACTGATCCCCAATACAGAGTATTGGAATTTAAAATTCCTTTATTATTTTTAAACTCTTAAATGCCAAAAGAGAAGAATCAAGATGCTGTTTCAAAAGATTTGCCTTGTAGGGGATCTAATGTACTCAAGATAAACAATGAAAATAAACCATGTAGCATCTTTCCTGTGATTGCTAGGTTTTTCCAACCTCACTGCACTCAGGGGCTCTGGGCACTGACAGGAGCTGTAACTTAGAAGGCCTCTGTATCTCTCATTGCTGTTACCAGCATTCAGCAGTAGTAGCTTTCACCAAGCACAAATACACGCCTAAGAACTGCGAGAATCCCTTGTGTTTCTGAGTTGCCAATAGGTGGCACTAGCCATTTAGTCAGCGTAGCATGCATGCCTTTAGTGCCCACACAGAGGAGCAGGCTAAAATGATCCCTGTCCCTCATCCCAATGCAGTTAGATTCAAATTGACGGTCCATAAAGACAGTTCAGCTGACAGCAGCAGGGACATTGTTCCAGACTGGAATTGTCCCAACACTGGAGAGAGAACCCTCTGCCCTGTTCATACTGTCCTTTGTCCTGTTGTCTCTCTCTCTGTCCCATCCGTGTTGTTTCTCTGTCCTGTTCGTGTTGTCCCTCGTGGTCACAGATGCAATAACCTCCCTCTTGGATCTACCTAAGGGGAAAAAAAATAGTATCTGGGAAAACCGGAGGATGCTTAATATTTTCTTTAATTCTTGCAAAAAAAAAAATCGATGGAATACAGAAAGCAGGATCTACTGGCTCCAGAGAGGTTGTTGCTGACAAAACTTAAGGAGATTGATAATGAGGCAGAATTGCATATAATGTGTATTTCCTGTGTTACTGTAATAACAGGTATCAATCAGTCTCGATCTCTGGGAAATTAAAATTGTGTGTGTGTGTTGTGTACACATTTGTGTGCATAATTGATTGTTATATTGAGAACCGAGATAATTCCAAAACTGATCTACTTTCAGAACATACACATGGAAGTAATACTGCGTATTGAACACAGGGGCTCGGCTCTGCTTCACTCTTATCTGTGGTGTCATATCACGGAGAAATTGTGGTTAAGCACATGAACACGACACCATTATTTAGTGCAAACAAATAAACCCAACGTTATTAATTAGGGCAAGCATAGAAACAGAAATCAAATTTAGAAGACAAGATTAGAACTTGTAATAATACATTTTTTACATTAGTTCACACTAGAATGGTTTCATGCTGTATGGAATCCTTCCTTTGTTTGTGGTACCATGTATTGGAGATGGTGGTACTGGATGTTAATGGGTACAATCAGAATCATCGGTGTGAATGGATGCTCAGGTTGTGCGGCCCCTTTCAAGCTGGGAAGCGGATGGTGATGGCGTGGGTCGCTGTCATTGTAACTGTCTTGGGTTTCTTTATATTTGCCTCCGAGTTTCATTATATAACAAATGGTAAAAGAAATCAAAATAATTGGCAGCTTCTAGGAAACCTCCCACTGACTCTCCTTCCTGAGCATTCATTCCTCAAAGGCATGATTTATTGCAGAGCAACTGAGTTTTTTGCAGGAATTTCATTAAGCATAGTTTAATTGTGTTGTCTTTCATAATGTTCTAGGGTGAATAATTAGGGGCTGTTACGAAGCTGTAAAACCAATGATCCTGTATTTTCCAACCCGTCTCATGTGCATTTGACTCTTTTTATGGCTTTGAATCCAGTTAGGATCAAATGACCAATGTCTGAGAGTCCCGAGCCCAGAACTGACCTGAGGCTTCTCTGGAGCCTTCCTTATTCCAGCATCCATGTTTGTGAATGTGGATTGCAAGACGAAAACTTGCAGGTTTCTTGGAAGCAGAGACCACTTTCTTCACCTACGTCCAGGGTCTGTGGTGACAGAAAGAGGCCGCGGTCCTCTCCTGCCCTCCTGTCCTCAAGTGCTGCGTCCCCACAATCTCTGTCACCTCCCCACTTCGGGAATGACATGAAGCAGAGCATGGTGGGACAGGAAGTGCAGCCGCGCTTTGTGTCACTAAATAAGAAGTAAGTGGATGTGATGAGCAAAATGTTTTGCACAAATCATGGACTACAATAAAGAAATTACCTTCGGAGATTTCCCCTCCATCAACCAAAGATCACATTTCAGATAAACTCAGTTCCAAGCAGAAAGACGAGCTGGCTGGCTTTAAAATGTCACCTGCATTCACTTCCGCTCATCTTTAGCATCTCTTTGAGCACCCATTGGATAACAAGCGTATTTAACTCTTACCTCACTGTGGTTAGACCAAGGCCATTTGCTTGGAAAACTGAAGACACGTGCATTGGTGCTAGCCCTGAGGCCCCTTTTGGCTTACACACGTGACAGAACTGCCTCGGGTTCCAAAGCAGAGCTCCTAGAACTTTGGATGACTCAGATATGTTCCTGAAATATGTATGATTTTTTTTGTTTTGTTTTTTGTTTTCTGAGACAGGGTTACTCTGTACAATAGCCCTAGTCGTCCTTGAACTAGCTCTTATAGACCAGGCTGGCCTTGATTTTTATATAATTTTATAGTTTGGGGTGTCAGTTA